GTTTTGACGTTGATCCTCCACGGAGTCAACCCCAAATTTTACTCCTTTTCCTGTTTTCCTTCAGATTCCCGAGGTGCTGCTTTGGGCCAAGGAGCAGAATGAGGAGAAGAGTCCGAACCTGACTCAGTTTACAGAGCACTTTAACAACATGAGCTATTGGTAACTTCATGACCTCACACCTCGCCGTCTGTCATTGGTTTTCCCAGCTTCTCTCTTATACTTTCTTGCCCTCACAAATGTTGACGGCATACTGTTTTTTTGTTTTACCCTCTAGGGTGCGCTCTTTGATAATCCAGCAAGAGAAAGCCCAAGACAGAGAGAAGTTGCTTCTCAAGTTCATCAAGATAATGAAGGTTAGTCACCTTAGACTTAAATATCCTGTTTGTCATGTAATATCCTTTTTGTTTAACCCTATACCATTTATACAAATTTATTTTTACAGCACTTAAGAAAGTTGAATAATTTCAACTCCTACCTGGCAATACTGTCCGCCCTGGACTCTGCCCCCATCAGGAGATTGGAGTGGCAGAAACAGACCTCAGAGGTGAGAGGATTGTGTGTGTGTGTGTGTGTGGAGGGGAGAAATGTCAAGTCCAAAGATGGTGTAGTCGTCAAGACCTCTGTCTCCTGATTATGTTTATCACTTTTCTCTCATATCACTCGTCCTCCTTATTCTTCTCTCAGGGATTGGAAGAATATTGCACGCTGATTGACAGCTCCTCCTCCTTCAGAGCATACAGAGCTGCTCTGGCTGAAGTGGAGCCTCCATGCATCCCGTACCTGTAAGTGAATTAATGTTTACACACATGCTTAAACTCATACATTTTCTCTTAGCTGAGAGCCACGACTTGACATGCCTCCTCCTTTTTCTAGGGGTCTCATTCTGCAGGACCTGACCTTCGTCCACCTGGGGAACCCTGACCTCATTGATGGGAAAGTCAACTTCTCCAAACGCTGGCAGCAGTTTAACATCCTGGACAGCATGCGGCGCTTCCAGCAAGTGTAAGTACACTAGGATGAAGTGACAGGATGAAAAGATCCTAAAAGATCGTAATCTTGATATATTATTAGAACTTTGTAAACATCAATCCCAGTAATAAAGGTCATCATTTGTTTGCCACTTGCAAGAAATACAACGGATGCCTACTTTGTTTTTCATTACGTTTTAATATCATAAAACATTGCTGTCATCTCCACCCAGGCTATTTGCTCTCTCGCAAATGAATCACTGCATTAATCAAACCTCAACCTCTTCTCATGCCAGGCATTATGAGCTGAAGCGCAACGAAGACATCGTCTGCTTCTTCAACGACTTCAGCGACCACCTGGCAGAGGAGGCCCTGTGGGAGCTGTCACTGAAGATCAAGCCCAGGAACATTACCAGGCGCAAGACGGACCGCGAAGAGAAGACCTAGGGCCCGTGGGCGTCCAAAACTGACCTCCAACTGTGCTTCACGACACTAACTCCACTTTACTACAGACTGAGAGAAAGACGAATGGAAGCTATCCGCTGGAGCCAATGGGAGACTCATTGTGGGGAATGCAGAACAAACTACAGACAACTGAAGCGTGGCCGAGGTTTACAAAGAGTGTGTGCTGCTCTGGGAGATTATTATTGGGATTACTGTGGCTCTGGCGTTTAGACGGGGAGAGATTCAGTGACTGGTGAGACGGGAGGTAGCCTGGTGCCAAGGAGGAGTGAAGAATCACACAGAGCGGACAGGGAGACACTACAGAAATAACCAAAGTCTGCTCCCTGGGCTCTCTGTTTTAGAGTGAAGCTGTTGCGTGTGCGTGAGATTGAGCTGAATGGTCCATTACTCTCCGAGTTGCTCCTTCCTCTTCCTTTTATGTATGTGCCATTTGCTGGTCATCTTCCGCAACCCTCTCCTTGACTCACGAGTCCCCTTCAAACAGCAGAACTTCGAGAGCTGCCTGCCCTGAACTGTGACATAAACATGCAGGCGGCAGACCTGAAAATCTGCTGGGAGACGCGAGGGGATTTGAACTTGAAGAGAGGATGACCTTTAGAGACTGAGTTTGTTTTGAAACATTTTGTGTAAGAATCATGTATGGTTATGAAATGTATTATATACAGTGCTCCTTTTGTTCTTAAAAAGGATGTTTATGCTTATGAGAAGAGCTTAGCTTCTCCCGAAGTGCCATACATATGTGCACTAAAAAAAGCAAAGCAAAAACACAAAAAGATAAATTACTAAAGATGCTGTGATCTATGTATGTCATACCGAATCATTGTGTGCAGTGTTCAGGTGTAGAGAACCATCAGGCAATCACAATTGTCCCCGTCATGTCAGCGTGTGAAAGAGTGTTTGTTTGTGTGTGACTGAAGTTCTCAGTGACTTGTGTGTTTGTCATTTCAAAAATGTGCTGTAGTAAATCATTTTGATTCCTTTTTGGGATAATGGTCAAAACCAACACATCACACTGTGCTATCAAACTCCAATAAAACGAACAGCTCTGTTTCTATACACACCGTGTTGGTCAGAATCCTCATTTAAATTGTCAAAATTCAAAAGAGACATGCACTTTAAAACGTCACAATAGAATTTCCATTTATTGTTGTACAGAATGGTCGGTGGATAATGAACTTAAAAAAATTAAGGCATGTATTCAACTGTAAATAATCAAAAGGAAGCACTTGATACCAATTTAGGTTTGAAACAACTGAACCTCACAGCCACCTGGCCAAATTTGATTTAAATAAGTTAAAAGAACAGGGAAAGCAATACGACAACTACAACACTTAAGTATTAATATAATCTCTGTTAAAGCAACCAAGAAGGAATATAATTGTAAGGTCAAATTGTGCAAAAGCATGACTAACTAAACATTTAAAAAACGCTTCCTACCCTCAACTGAATCCATATCAGTAAGTATCCAACCACAATCAACGCTGAGAAATCAAACCATATCATGGAAGACTGTTGCATGTGAAAAGCATAATCTATTAGCATATCTGTTATGCACCAATAATTACTGTAAATTTATGAAGAAGTGTCAAACGCCATGGGATTGTGGATACTCTGTTTTTTTTAAAAGGCTGCAGAGGGTGAGACTGGCATCACAGTTGCTGACCCATCCAGCACAAATCAGTAGCAGCAATCCTAATTCGAAGCTCATTCACAGTCTGGACACATCCGTCCACCCCATGCGCCCACACAGTCTCAGTGAGGCCGACAACTGGGCTCCAGCAGGACCCTCTTTCCCACAGGGTTAGCGGCTCCGTTCTGCAGATCCATCTGTTCCGAAATGGCCCGTTTTAAGCTCCGCCCGTGGCCATTAATGGTCCCACGCTGCCATTTGCAGAGGTCACCGTTCAGTATGTCTTGGATGTGCTGTACGATGAGGTTGATGGCCACTGGTGAGAGACCGTTGATTTGTCAAGCAATCGAGCTGCAGGAGTTAGCAGAAAAGCATACTTAAAGAAAAAAACACTTACCCATATTGTCAACTCCCCTTGGAATGATGACATCTGCATACTTCTTTGTCTGAGAGAGACAAGAGATTTACAAATAAAGTGAGGTAGTGCTTGATAGTGGCTGCTGCAAAAGGAGGTTTTTTGACTGAATAAGACGCTGGAAAATAGGCACACAATTTGTGATAACTATACTTACAGGCAAACAAAACTCTTCAAAAGCAGGCTTGACAAAGGTGGTATACTGAGTGAGAATCTGCTCCAAGTCTCTCCCTCTGTTCATGTCTCGCAGAACTACGGGGAGAATTTCGTTAAAATTTATCTATACTGTGGCAACATCTGGAATATCATGCGTGAAGGAGACATAAAATACCTCTGCGAGACAGTCTGACGTCTGAATCTGTGTCCACGAAAAGTTTCATGTGGAACATATCCCGCACTTTCTGGGGGTAGAAGACCAGGATCCCCTCAAAGAGGACCACATCTGCTGGGTAAACTGTGATCCTGTCATCCAACCTGGAAATATGCACACGGTTTTTCATACAGAGGCATGAGATGAGAACTGTTCTGTGAAAAGCTGATACAAGATTTCTCATTAGGGCTTCATGAATGTGAAATGCTTCCTCCCTACCTGGAATGGGTGACAAAGTCATACGTTGGCACTTCAACCACCCTTCCCTCCACAATGTCCTTCAAGGTTTGGTACATTAACTCGTTATCAAATGCCTCTGCAAGACATTAAACAGACAGCAAAATTTAAAAAAATCAAGGCAGCGCATGCAGCATGTAAATAAGCAGATGTTAGTGCAGAGTCTGTTAATAACATGTTGTAACTGCAGGTTACATGTGTGTTACATTTCAAAAGCATGCAAAACACAAAAACATCCATATTAGGAGTGGTGTTGGTTGAACATTACAGGTGGGGAAATACTGCTATTGTTATTAGGTATCAGAGGCTGACTTTTGCATATAGGCAGGGAGGTGTGTGTACTGTTAAGAAACTGGGCAGGTAAAAAGACCACACTATCGCCTGGGCCTACCTGGGTGATCAAAGTTGTACTGGCCCTTCAGCGCTTTCCCCTTTTGCTCCGGAGTCAGGACTCTGTAGAAGCTGTCCTGGCTGATAATAGCCACCTTTCTCTGGCGGTGGTCCACCTTGTTCTGACCCAGAAGCTCCATGATCTTGGCGCAAACTGTTGACTGGCAGAAAACTTATTATGACCTGTCATTATGCTTTACTAGGATAGAACAGCAAGTTTGTGTCCTGAGCTATAGGGGGAACAAATGACCTTCTCAATGTAGTAACGTTAATCAGCTGACTCTTGGTCAGTCATTGCGAGGGAAATAGTTAGCTGTATGACGCCATTTAACGCTAAAAGGGCAACAGGAAGTGTTGGCAAAGGTAGTAAAAATTAACAGAGCAGAAATGCAATGACTGCTCTGGCGTGTTAATGGAAAGAAGAAATATAAAGAGAGCAAGGGGGCGTGCCTGCTGTTTTGACAGTTTGCCTGGTGCTATTATGTTGGCGCAGCTAGCACACTAAGCTAAGCTACTCGAGATGCTAACTCCGTAGTTCGTCTGCCTGAAAAAGGGACTGACCTTGCCGCTGGCGGTTCCTCCGCTGACCCCTATTAGGAAAGGGCGGTGACGGGGCCTCTCTGCCTCGTCTAGGGTCCCAAGAGTATCCATCGCAGTCCAACTGGTAAGAAAGACTGCAGAAACCTAGGTAGCTTGGCTGCTAGCTAGTTATCTGTAGCAACAGCAACGCGCTGTTCTCGCGAGAAATCAGGCTATCTGAAGTACCAAGCAGGACAGCTAGGAGCGGAACTGCATCTAGTATTTACATAAAAGATTAATCACTACCCGTTTCGATAAAATATGAGAAATTACTACCTATATTAATCGTCGGCAATTTATATTTACTCATTTAGCAGAAGCTTTTATGCAGAGCGACTTACATTTGAGGAACAGCGTAAGCTACAAAAAAGCATCAAGAAAGTGGGACATCTACAAGTGACAACAGGTACTACATAGCTAGACAAGAGCTATTAGCGTGCACGCCATTAATGGGGTAAATACCTAGTAAATACCTGATTCTGAATACCGTTGGTTGTGGTTAGTAAAGACTCAAGTATTAATTAATTAATAAATACATTCCTTTTACTGTTTTTGCTGGGATTGTAGTTCTAGCCTATTAAAAGCTAGTCTCAGTCATTTCCCTATCTCTTGCTTAGAATACATGACAACAAATACAAGATCAAATAAAACGATTTGTGTTTATTGTGGAATAAATTTTTTTTTTTTTAATTACAATATGCACGTAAATTATAAGCACTGCATCATTGTTTTTCTAGGTCATCGTCTGATTTCTCTCTGTCTTCCACACATTGTGACTTCTCTCTCCTAGATTCATCCACCACTATCTCCAAAGCAGCACTTCCTTCGATCTCTTCACAGTCTCTCCTTTGGCAGCAAGGATTTCCTCGATGTTTCTAAAGTGGAAAACAACACAACACGAGTAATTCAGAAATGTACCCATGTCTAGTGTATTTTGAACATCGTGCGCACTCCATGCTCAAAAGGCTGCATGGGTCAAAAGCACCTCCAACCTCTTCCCTTCCAGGTCAGAGAACCAGTTGAGGTTATCAGCGATGATATGGTGGTTCTTGCATCCTGAACATGTCACTATCACAACACCTTTGTGATAAGCCTGCTTGGATATCTTCTGCGTGGACCTAGTAGAGCAAACCTGCAAACATGTCACATAAATGACTTTTAAACCCAGGGATATGTCACAACATAAAACAAACAGACCAAGAAAATGTTTTGGGATTTCAAGATGGAAAACTTTAACATCTGATTAAATAAAGCAACAGCACAAATAATGGCCCAACACTGGTCCTGGTACCTTGCATGTGTAAATGAGGTGATAATGTGTTGACTGGATTTTTCCAATAGAGTCACTTCTGATACCGGGTGAAGTTGAGAATCGTCTATAACTGCTAAGACGAGCTTTACATCTGTCAGCAGGTAATAAAATATGAAAACTACTCTTGTCGTGTGCGGAGAGGAGCCCCGTCCTGGTCTTCGGCGGTCCTTGAGGACGACAGGAAGCCACAGCACAGAGTCTAGACGGCGCTGAACGACTGCGAAACAACCGGCTGACAGTCAGCATCGTCCTCGAAAAAAATGGTGAACGTAAAACAGCAAAACATTTCTGTAAAACCAGCATGACAAGTATCAAAGCACCTACACGTTACAAGCGATTTCATCAACGTTTAATTTGTCGCGGTGTGATGACATCACATGTATTGGTATTTTCAAAACGAACTTTATAAACAACTTTATTTTTTTACAATATATTAAAAGTGATGAGCATTTTTTATATACGGCCTATGGCATTGACATGACATTGCATCTAATAAACAAATAAAAGAAAAAACATTACATGTATTTGAAATAGATTTGTTTTTATATTTCATTAGCTTGGAAGTGTGATAAAGTTTTTCTAGAGATTCTGAGAATGGGCTTTTTGACTGCAAATGTAGTATTTTCAGGTTAGAAATATTTCAGTCAAGTTACGCCACTGTAATTAAGTACAATTTTGAGGTACTCTTTACATGAGTATTTCCCTTTTAGATTATTTTATTTTATCCTTTTAGTCTGGTCTACCACGTTTCAGAGGAATATATTTACTCCACTACAAATATCTGACAGCTACTTGTTACTTTCCAGATTCCGATTTTAAATATAAACATACGATCAACATTAACTCGTAAATATAAATTATGTTATGTTACGTTATTTTTGGATAAACTACCCAGACGCACAAAGTAAATCAAATTAGTCTGACCATGACCACCTGCAACCTTAAAATGAGGAGGGGCCATTCTGTATTATGAGTACATTTTTACGTTTAACACTAAGTATATTTTATTTTTATAATACAAAATGTACATTTAATTAACACAACAACAAACTCCATCAGAGGTACTAAATTACTACAGAAATCATCTGACCAGAATGAAGAGGAAATAGTACAGTTAATCCTGTCTTGATTGTCATTATTGAAATTATGTTAGAATGAGGATAGTAATAAAGTTTATATTTTCGATATGTGTATCACCAGGTTTCCAATACATGTGATTTTTAGGCATTCATTCTATTATATGCAGAGCCATTTTAAGGAATGATGAATTTTGTTAATATTCAACTGTGACAGTGACAGTCTTGTTCATGCTCACTGGCCTTTGTAATTTTTGTTTGTCCCTGGTCATTGTGTGTGGAGGGAAAATTTCAATTTCAATTCAAAGACAAAATCCAATTTACATATTGGTCAAGTAAACATCCTAGTGTGGAGAACACAACCACCAGAGGGTGACATAAAGACTCAGACTCAGATTTTCCTTCCAATCTCCAACGTACCTCTGGACAGGCCCGTGTGGTCCAAATCAGGGACAGATTTTATCACCTCATTGTTTGCCAGTCCTTTAGTGAGAAAAGGAGAAGTAGGGACACATTATGTATTTGTAAGAAAACAATTTCCATTATCCCAACAAGGTCAGCACTGCTGCAGTGTACAGCTGATGTCCACAAATGACACATTTAGTGAGCTGGTGGTGACTGAAGGGTTGTGTTACTTAATACTGCTGGGAAAGGTGGGGGGAGCTTGTTTGGCGGAAACAGCAGTCAGTCTGAAACTGGGAGGCCGCCCAGTGCTGATACTCTGCTGCTGTAGTGAGTCCAAGTGCAGTTTTTGTGTGCTGTAAAGGATGTCAGCATAGGGCTAACGTGTATCACATGATAAAACCAGGACAGAATAAATATATTTAGTATTTTATACACCAACCTAATAACAAATCACAGAAAGGTGGGGTTGTCTACCTTAAAACAAATGATCCCCAAATGCTGGTGGTTTAATATCACACTACTTGCTATGTAATATTCTGCACTATTAATTTTTACAGCTTTCAATGCTTATTTATAAGACCTCACTTTAAGCCAACATTTATTATTTAACAGTCCTTTCTGGAAGTTTGATTGTTGGCTATTTGACTATGCACATGTTTAGAAGTGGCTATGTGATAGCAGGGGAGTTAAAGTTTGGCTATAATTCACTATTATTCCAAGCCTTGTGTGCCTGTTGACTAAGTATAACACAGTATGACACAGTATACGTGCATATGTGTGTATATATAGGCTATATATATCCAAGGTACAAAGTAGATTCATTTATGAATTTAAAAAATACAGTGTGGTGTGATTTAGTTATAGTTTTCTTTATGCTACTCACAAAGGCAAACATTATATGCAAAAATATTTACAGTAAATGGATGGATGGATGGATGGATGGATGGTGGTGGACTGCTCAGGATAAATTTAGAAGTCATCCAGTCTGGGAAAAGAAGCTGTTCTGAGGTCTGGTGGTTCGACAGTGGATACGTCTGTATCACTGGCCAGATGGCAGCAGGGTGTCTTTTAGTATCCTTTGCACAGGTACCTCACCTCACAAGTTTATCACTGATGCTCGGTAGATGGCTACCAATGATCCTCTGAGCGGTTTTAATGCCCTCCTATCCTGTGCAGTTCACATCCCATGCTAGTTCTCTTTAGGTGAGAGGTTGCAGTCATGGGTATACACCGTGAACAGGAGGGGTGTTTAGCACACAGCCCCCAGGAGCTACATTGTTTCGCAATAGAGTGAAGAAGGTGTGGCTGCCAGTCCGAAACTGTCTGGGGTCTGTTTGTGAGTAAGTCCAATACCAGTTGCAGAGTGTGGTACTTAAGCCCAGAGTCCTGAGTTTGCTGATGAGTTTCATGGGGGAGATTGTGTTGACTGCTGAGATGAAATCAGAATCAGAATCAGCTTTATTGCCAGGTATGTGTACACACAGGAGAAATTTGACTTTGGATTGTATATTGCACATTGTACAGGATTGTGCTTACTCATACAATAATACAATAACACAATGATAAAATAAAATCAGACACAGGCTAGTGCAGTGAGCAAAGTGCAAAGGATGCAGGAGTAAAATATTATCATTATTATGTACATGTCGGAGGTGGATGTGATATACAGGTACATACATGCATACATGTACACAGCGCGATGGAGCATAGTGTCCAAATTCACAAACAGCATTCTGATGTACATGTTGTTTTTCTCAAGGTGTGCGAAGACTGAGTGGATGGCAGTGGAGATGGCATCCTCTGTGGATCTGTTGGTTCTGAATGCAAACTGGTGAGGGTCCAGGCTGATTGGGATGTTGTTTTTTATGTGCTGGAGAACAAGTTTCTTAAAGCACTTCATCAAAATGGGGGTGAGCGCCACAGGCCCATTGTCATTCAGACTAGACACTGCAGGCTTTTTAGGTACAGGGAAGATGGTGGCTTTGAAAGTAATATGTACAAAATATCAGTAACATCAACCAGCTGATTGGCACATGTTTTAGTACATGGCCAGGGATGTTATCAGTCCAAGCAGTTTGTCTCATATTCAGTCTCAGGATTCTTCTCCCATCTGCTGCAGATACGGACAGTGGACCTTCTTCTAGAGGCAGAGTAGACTAAACTGACTCTTTGTTGAGGAGATCAAAGACAGCATAAAATGTGTTTAGCTCATTTGGTAGGCTAATGTGGCTTTTGTAGCCTGTGATGATTTTGATTGCCTGCCACATACAGTACGTACATGTTTGGTGTTGTTGAGTTTTAAAAAGTTACAACAACCAGTGTTTCAGTGTTTTCCTTCAAATGTAGAACTGCAGGGTTTTAGGCGAGACAATTGCATTAGAATGTTAATTAAACCATTGTTTATCTCCTCTTTGTAATGTGAACGAAACTGACACCTCTTTGTTTAGTGCCAGAAGGATCCTTTTGTTTAACTTCTTCATAGACTCCTAAGATTGTTTGTCGACCGTTTTGGAGACAACCCCTGTTGTGCTGTATGACTAGTTGGTGGAGCAAGGACTGTGTATTCCTGTAAATTAAAGGGGTTCTACGTCTGGGGTCGGCTCTCTTTCGTTCGACCAAAAGCAAAGTAGAACAGTATGGTACACCCTCTCTAACTGGGTGACGAAGAAGTAACCAAACGATCAATGGCTATGGTCCTGAGCCATTTGGAGGAAAAAGGACCCGCCCACATACCTGGAGGATATTAACAACATATTTTGATAGAATCGGGACTGTAAGCTGTGAATCTGTGAGGAAAAGCAACTTTCCGGTCCTCTGGCAGTAACTTGGTGACTGGTTATATCTTTACAGAGAAGCTTCTTCAGTCCACTGCAGTGTTTTCGTTTGTTCTGTAAGGTTATCTCTTTATTCACTAATTTTTGTAATTAAATCTTTTGTTAATTTTCATCGGACTGAGCCTCTCCTTGATCAAAATCCGTTATACGCAACAGTGTTGTTGGTGTTGAGGTCGCACCTAACTCGCTAGGCTTGCATGTCGTTTGTTTGATAACTTTTTATATTATAATGTTTGTTTACTTCAGCTACTCTTATCTCGGGTAGCAGAGGTTTTGGATTCCGCCATATTGCCCAGTCGTTTAGTATTGTTGCCTTGGCGATGCTCGTCCGTGATTCAGGGGGCGGGGCTTCTGAAGGTCCACTGAAGGGAGGGGTGGAGTAGTTTGGACGTAGAGTTGAACAAGCTTTCTCCACAAACGCATTTTGTCCTATCATATTAACATAACAGGCTACTGAAGGGCCTTTTTAATGCCCAATTTTGATTTCTTTAAATTATCCCAGATTTTTGTGTGTGACATATTGCCACACTACCCTGCTTTTATGTTGACAGCGGCTGCGTCCTAGTACTTCCGCCAGTCTCGTGCCGCAGCAGTTGTGTGGACCCGCTCGGCAGTTACCTTCCTGTGGTTTTCTTCTCCGTCACTAACGTACGGGGCTCCGGCCCGGTGTCCAACCAGCCGCAGCCGCTGAGAAACGTTTGAGAAATGTGTCACCCGTGTGCCGAGGTGGCGAGAGACACCAGTTTTACAAAAACAGGTGGGTCTTTTTTTGAAATTCAAAATTTGTTTTAACTAGCTAGCTAAGCTGTGTGGATCATTGATTTCACTGCCGCAGTTTGCTAACTGGGCATCGTTATGAGACATCATTTGCCGTCGCCGCCCGGCCGTTGAGAAGCACACCCAATGAAATGTCTCTTAGTTAACGTTAGATCACATGTTATTTCAACAGACTGCATTAATTACAGCCAGGCTCCTAATCCCAGATGAATAGCTAAGTAAATGTCTCGATCATATCGTTTAATCCACAGATGAAGGCCAACAAGGTATTCTGGTAATATAA